ATGGAGTACCTCAATGTTTGATGCAAAAACGCATGATCGCACCGGCTGGCCTGGTGCGCTCCAGCCTGGGTTTTCTTGTGTTTTGCGTTGCATCAATGGTGCAAAATGCATATAGTCGAGAATGTATGTGTCTATGGGGTAGCTGCCAAGGTTTTTATTCATTTTTATATTTTTTTGTAAACGCCAAAAAAACGCATATTGTTGCCCACACTCAACTCAGCACCATATAGGCTAGGAAGCTGGGATTTCACAAGAATCTTTCTAGCCCAAATGCCATCCAAACAGCGTATTAAAATCAGCGTTCAAGCCCGCTTGTGTTTCACGCACGGGTGCCTAAAAAACATAGTTTTTTCGCAAGTTGCTGGAGCAAAACAGTTTACCTCGACTGTGTTCAAGCTTTTCCGATCCCCTGCATAGGATGTTTTCTTAGTAAGTGACCTTATTTTCGTCAGAGATTGCAATTTTAGATGTATTTGACGGATGACATGATGGCGAAACAGTCAATTTTAAGGCAGACCCAGAAAAACGGATTAGGCTGTACTAGCGAAGGCGTTTATTGGTTAAAAGGAAACAACGCACAGTCACCCACAACAAGGTTTTTTTCTTCTCTTTAATATTTTTTGAATGTTCCCCACTACCTAAAACTGAGTTTGTTATATTTTAACGCAGTAGGTCACCCAGCGTGTAAGCTTTGATAAAAGGGCATTGAAAAAAGTAATAATTGTCTACTTTAATGAGTCAGTAGTCCAAGTTATGCACTTTTCAGTGTGAATTAGCGTTCATTCAGAAAACTTAGTTGTGTGTGGCTATTCTCTGTTTTTTGCCTGTTGATCGCAATGAGTTGAGCATTCCCGAGCACAAAAAACTAGCAGGTTTCACACATTTTGTAAGTGACTAGTGAAAATTTTACAGAGTCGCGGTTTATAACCGATAGGAATAATAAAAAGAAACTGGAAGTTTTTTTAGCTTTCAAAACGGTCCGTATCACTCTAGTGTAAGTTATACTTCAAATTTTTGGGCCATTCGTAGGAGAGTTCCGTTGAATGAAAGCGCAAAGGCAACTCCGGAAATGAATCGGCTGCTTGGCGGTTCAACAGTGCATCGACAGAACAGTAGCGACGAGAATTCTTCACCTTCTGCTGCTTATCATACGGTACACCGATCAGATTTTATTTTTGTTTGATCCAGCAATATGGTGATTCTTACAAGCGGATATGAGAATCTAAAATGCCTTAATTTGTTAAAAGAAGTCTTAAAAAGCAGCGGTGAGCTACATACTCCAAACACCTAAATTTCGGGAAGTTAGAGTTATTGTATTAGACTGAATTTAGGTACAAGTCATAGGTCATTTTGTTGTGGAACTTAAAAGTTGACTTATATTGTTCACCTTGAACGAAGCAGCAAAATTACACATAAGTTATTTTACCAGTATTGCAGCCCAGCCTGATTCTTAGCCTGAGGTCATATACCGGTGCTCAAAGAAGTTTGAAGGATGGAAACTTTCAGGGCATTTTGCACTGCGCAATCAACTCGTAGAATTTTTTAAATGAAGAAATAAATTTTTTTAAATCAATTCTTGACTAACACTGCGCTTTCCTGTATTGTATTAATATCCTGACTCTAGGCGCAAGTTTGTATGGGTCAAAAAACAAGCAGTTTTAGCTGCTCTTAGACTGGTCTAAAATATGGCTAGGACCCTAGTGCGCGCTGCTGTTTTTCTGAAGTTGCCACGGAAGTTTTCTTCAGTAGGAATTGCGAGTTGCCACTCGCCAAACTTCATGATTTTATTATTACCAGTGCCTACTGATTGCATTTATATGCAGATTGCTCGCACCACACAGCCGCAAATGTCTTTTGCACAGCAGCAACAGCAGCAGCACCGGATTGTCATGAATTCTCCGAAATATTCCACCGAAGCAACAGTTTCTGCTGATGTTGTCATACCTGCAAATGCAAATACGTTTGGAACATTGCAGGTTCGTGTATGGGAAAAAGAAGAAAGAGAACGAAGTTCATAGGGCCACGGTTCGTTTGAGATGAAAAACGGATGAGAAAAGAAGGTAGGAGCAGCGGGAGCTGTGGATGAGAAGGAGGTTGAAGCAGTAGTATTCATTAGTGTCTAAAAATACTTTTCTTCCTCAACGGCTTTCTCATATTTACACCTGTTTCAGCAGCTAATGCAAAAACGAATTACATTTTGCCGTTCTTTAATGCATCAGTGTTGTAGAAACCCCTCAAATAAAATAAATCAGCCAGAGGCTTATTTAAAGAAGAGGCACTTTAATCGATTAGAATGCTCTAAAGTTGTCAAGCAGAATGAGAATTTTGATGAATAAAGAAACTAGATTCATCACATCGGACTCCATATTTAGCGGTTTTACTCGATAACGTGGTAAAATGAGGGTCAAATCCCACCGAACTGACTGGATCTAAAAATAAGGCAGAGCAGCAAAAGTCTGAGCCAAATTTAAGCGCTGGGGTTCTTTTTCAGTCACTGAATTACGCGGCTCAGTTTACATTTCAGTTTCTTTCGAATCTTTGCTATCACCTATAATCAACTGAATGTTATAGCGGAATCAGCGACCAGAGTATGTGTCAAGTGGTGGGCGACAAGTGCCACAAGGGCCACGTAGGTCATCACTGCAAAATTCGCTGAATGCTGGGATCGCTTCCGATGGAACTCCGCTACTGACGGTAGGTATCTTTCTTAATACAGCTGCGAAAAGACATTCATAGGCAGAAAAAAGTAGTGAAGAGGTGACACTACATTTGCAGCTGTGGTCAGTTTTGCAGACACTTATATATA